TAATATTTAAATAATGTGATTTATTAATAATATTACAATTTTCATTAATATAATTATATTTTAATAATAAACAATAATATCTTATTATTATTAAATAATTTTTTAATCCATTTTCTTCAATTTCTTCATCTTTTGAAAATGAATTAATTAATGTCTTTAATTCTTTTCTTAATATAAATATAACTCTTTTTATAGGAAATATATATTTTAATATTTTAGTAACTCCATACATTATTTTATGAACAAAAATTGGTAAATTGGCATATTGTTGAATTTCTGTTAATTCATTAATAATTAATGTACTATTTAATTTTAATTCATTTGTTATAAATTCAAATTGTATTGATGATTTTGTAATAAATGTTTGATAACATGAAATAATAGAAATAATATCTGTTATTTCTTGATCTTCTTGAAGACATAGTCTAAATGTATTATCAAATCCATATAAATTAAGTAATACATCTACAGTATTTTTTGTTAAAAACTTCTCTAATAATAAATTACTATCTACTTCTTTTGTTGGTTTAATACTTTCAATATCAAACATAAAAAGTGGTTTAAAGTCAATAGGAAAACTCATTGTTGGTAATTTATATGCCCATTTAATAAATTTAGTAATTGGATATATATTCTTTTTTGGTTCATATAATACAAAATAATCTAAGTATCCTTCTATCACATGTATAAGTGGTTTATATTTCTTTTGGAATGTAAATAAAATTACTTGTGATGGTTCCATATGATGGACTAAACTTTCAATTTCTGATCGAACTGATAATAATTTTTGTGAAAGAATTGAATAAAAACTACGAAGAATACTTGAAAAGAAACTTAAACATGTTGGTGCCATATGTTCTGAAATAATATTATAATATTTTGGAAATGTTGGAATTGAAATAAAATAAATGTATTGTTTAAATACTTCTATTGCATTTGTTGTTATTTGTTTATATTGAGTATCAGCTAAGTCAAAGAAAAAAATAAAACAATGTTCTGTACAATTTACAATTTTCTCTTTAAATTTAACAAATTCTTCTTTTGTTATTTTCTTTTTACCATTTCCTCTAAAACATGTTATAATATTAAAAGATTCTCTTAATAAAACAAATATTTCATTAAATCTATAATCTAATGTAATTGTACAACATGAATCTACTGATGATATTGTAGAATCTGTTGAAAAAAGTTTTTGTGAACAAATTGAATGAAGTGATTGAAAGAAAGAAGATGAACCAGATGAATGACATTGTGAACTAACTAATCCAAAACTTTCAAATGGAGTAGAATATAATGACTGTTGTAATGAATTAAGAATTTTTTGAAGTTCATGAATAGGTTCTTTAATAATTTTTAATGAAATATTACCACTTTTACTAAATATTTTAATTGATTTAATTTGTTTTTCAATACTTAAAGGATATTTTGTTATTTCATTAGTTTGATTTTGAAGAATAAAACATTGACACATTTTTGATATAATAATACTTTTACTAATAATTTCTTCTAATTTTTCAATTAAACTTTCATTTAAAAATAATGAAATTATATTTTTAATTTCATTAATACAATAATGAATCATATCTGTTTGTGGTGTAAATGAATTACTTATTTCCATTTGAGATTCATAAACAAATTGTACCATTTCATGTATTGTTTTAAATTTTCTTGTTTCTAATAAATCAAAGAAAGTAGTAATTTCTTTTGATACTGATGGAAATATACAAAACTTTTTTTGAAAATAAGAATTTTTTAAATAAGAAATCATTTGCATTGGCTCATAGTTATGATATACTCCTCCATCTTTACTATTTCTTATAAAAGAAGAAAGATATTTCATACATTGTTGACATTCAGAAAAAATACAAACAATATTATTTTGATATGCAAATTTTTGAGTTTCTATCCCAAATGAAAATATTGGAATGAAAAGAGAAGATTCAATCATAATTTCGGTGATACTTTGTTTGATATTTTTAATTTGGTTATGAACCATTACTTTGGTAGTATTTCTTGATCCCATCATATTTACCATTTGACTTATAATATTAATACTATTCTCAAAATGAACATCTTTTGTATCATATTGAACAACCATGGAAATAATGGATTGAAATTTCTTTTGCATTAATGAAACTTTTTTCATCCTTTCAATAATATCATAAATTGAAGTATCAATATTAAGTTGATCAATCTCTTCAACTATCATAAAGAAATCACTAACAGTATGTTTAAAAGTTTCAAATGAAACTGATGGAATTAATTCAACAATATCTTTTATTATAGACTTTATTGAAAATGAAATAAATAATAATTCATTCTTATACTTCTCAAGAAATATAAATATCTCTTGTGTTGTATGACTTTTATTAAGTAAATCAGTCATTAATTTCATTATTTGTTGAAGTAATGGAAATAACTTATTACAAAAAGATGAAATATTCCACTGACTTGTAAAATAATAGAATGAAATGAGAGAAATACAATTAATATAATATTGTATTAAAAAGATAAAGTCATTAATGTCTATTAGAGTTAAATTACTTTTATTCTTTTGAATACGTTGTATAATATTGTCTAAACGAATTGCAAAAAATTGTGAAGTAACAAGAAATATTTTTTGTAATTTTGAATATGAAACAACATATATAAAATGCTTCATTATTATTGATCTAATTTTATCAATAATCATATTTGGTTTATTTTCTAGCTCTATTTCTTCCTTTTTAATTTCTTCATTAAGGCTAATAAATTCTTGAACAATTATTTTACTTCTTTCATTATTTTCTTGTAATGTTGACAAAACAGTAAATGTTTCAATTGTTTTATTGATAACTTCTTTCATATGTTTAAATTCTAGCAATAATAACTCAATTTCTTCATTAACAAATATAATATTATCATATAACTTAATGATTTCACTCATATAATATAATCCCATTCCTGTAATAGGCATTTTGATTGTCATAACTTCTTGAATATAACTGACATATTCTCTACTCTTTTCTTCATTCATAGTTTGGTAAATCTCCTCTAATACCAACAATGACCCTGAAGTATTCAACCCAACTTGAGTTATTTCTTTTTCTTTTTTTGTTAACTCAATGAGCTGACCAACCATAGGTATAATTTTATTCAAAACTTTTTTATCAGTCTTTTTCATGATTGTACCTATTGTATTGAGAACATTAAGCTGTAGTACAATATTATCCTTAAATTCATTAAAAACATCTTCTTCTTTAGTTGGTTGCAACGTGTGTTGCATGTGAACTAAATATGATTGAACCTCTAAAAATACTTCTCAGTCAAGACATTGTGATAAGAATATAACTATATTTTTATTATAATTCTATGATTTAAAGTTTTTATGAATCAAAAAAATTACAAAAAATTCATTGTTTGTTCTTGTCATTTGTGATGAAAAGACAACAAAAGAAATAAGGAAGTTTTGATGAAGAGAGTAGTTAATTAAAAATTGAGATGAAAAGAAAAAGAGAAAATGAAAGCCCATATGAAAGGGAAATTGTTATGGCATTATGTGAAACAAAAGGAAAAGAAATAGGAGTATGTTGGTTTGAATGTGGTTCTAACACTGTTGGACTATGTCAATACCTAGACACAAACACATACATACAAACACTAATCCTTATTAATATGTATTCTCCTACACAAATAATTATCTCCAAAACTCAAGAAAAGAGTGAATTAACTCAACTTCTTAAAAAAAATAGAAATAAAATTGTTTTTCTTCCAAGAAGTTCATTTAATGAAAATGAAGGTGTAACACTATCAGAAAGACTATTTGTTGGAAGTTGTTGTGATTTACTTAGGAGGGACTTAACAAAAAGATATTTATGTGCTGCATCATTTAATGCTTTAATTCAAAAAGTTGAAAAGTCTGCATTTATTATTCAGCCAGGTGCATTATATGGAAAATACATTCCTCTGTCTAATAAAATAAGAATTGATGTTCAAACTGCTCAACAATTGGAATTAATTACAAACAATTTAGATGCAAAGAAAACAGGATCGTTATTTGCTGTTATTAATACAACACTAACAAATAATGGAAGAAAAACGTTAATTGATAACATCTTGCAACCCCCATGTGATATTGAAACAATACTTGAAAGACAAAATTGTGTTGAGTTCTTTCTTAGAAATTCAGAATTATACTATCGTTCAATTGAATTTCTTAAACAACTTCCTGACATTGATAAAATCATTACATCAATTCTTCAACTAAATAGAATTGATTCTATCCGTCCAACAACCCTTCAGTCAATCTTAAAAAATATGTGTGAATTATATAAGTTATTATATACAATTCCTCAATTCCAAAAGGGGTTTGAACTTCACACAAATGCTCCACTTCTTATTACAACAATAAGAAGTATATTAGATGATCCCGAAATTAATGAATTAAAGTTAATTCTAGAAAGTGTTTTGAATCCAACAATAATTCTTTCAAAAAATACAATGAATAAAATTTGTTTTGTAATGAAACAAAATATTAATCCATACCTCGACGTTTCCCAACAAGTTTTTACAGAAACATTGGAAAAAATTCATACCTCTGCTGAAGAAGCATCAACCCTCGGGTTGATATTAAAAACTACACAATCAGGATTTTCTTATATTTTCAAAGGTACAAAACAAAATATTCCCGAAGGATGCTGTAGAATTGTTAAATTAACTGATAATAAATATTCTGTCAATACACCAGAAATGATTTCCTTAAATAATAAATTCCTTTCTATCAAAAATGATATTATTAAATTATCAATTGGTATGATTTCAGAAAAGTCTGAAGAATTAAAAAAAAGAATCACTGTTCTAAACAAAATAGCTGAAATGATTGGAGTATTGGATATGATCATTTGTTTTGTTACTTATTCATCAACAAACTCAACAATATGTAAACCAAAATTTAATGACACTCGTTCAATTATTATCAAACAAGGAAAACATCCAATTTTACAAACATCTATTACTCAGTTTATTCCTAATGATACTTATATAGATGATACTTCTCGTTTTTGTTTAATTAATGGACCAAATATGGGAGGAAAATCAACCTACATTAGACAAATAGCATTATTAATGATTTTGAGTCATATGGGATGTTTTATCCCTGCAAAAGCTGCTTCAATACGTCCATTAACAAATATCTTATCAAGGTTATCTACTGATGATTCAATAGAATTAAATCAATCTTCATTTATGAAAGAAATGGAAGAAGTTAAAGAAATTATTGAATTAATGAATGACAGTTCCTTAATTCTTATTGATGAGTTGGGAAGAGGAACAGGGATTATTGATGGTGTTTCTATTTCATGGGCTGTTAGTGAAGAAATCATTCTTAAAAGTTTATCAACCTGCCTTTTTGTTTCTCATTTCCCTGAATTAAACAACTTAGAAAGATTATATCCTCATGTTGTACGTCAATTTCATATGGAAGTTGCTTTGAACGATCATGGACTATGTCCAAAATACAAATTAACAGAAGGGTTTGATGAAAATGACTACTATGGAATTCAAATTGCAGAAATGGCTGGATTTCCTCTTTCTATCATTCAAAACGCAATTGAAATCAAAAAGAATATTCAAAAAGATACCACCCAACAATTTAATACAGCAAAGTATGACCTTGGTCAAAAGTTAATTGCTCTAAAAGATAGCCAGCTTGATCAATCCAATTTACGTGCGTATTTAAAATATCTGAAACAAATGTTTCTTGAAGAATAACGTAGTATTCTTAATTGTGTTACTTATTGTTTTTTTTTATTCACATTATTTAGAAATAAAATCCAAATAATTAAAAAATTTATTAATTTAAAGATTTTTAGTCATTAATAAAATCTTCCATAGAGTTATTTTTATTTCTTGAAGGATAAAAAATAAGTCATATTTCTATAAATAACAAATTACTAAAAAATAATAATAATATTAGAACATTACAATATTCTAAGAGATATTTAATAGGGTGTTGTTTCGTGATTGAGAAACAAATAACAAATACCACAAATTCTATGCAAGCTTAATTAATTTAATGATAAAATAGTGTGAAAAAACTATCTTAATGGAAGAAATAGAAAAGATGTTTGTATCTTATTTTCTATTTTTAATTTGAAAACCATTGTCTCATATGATGTTCTTTTACTTTGTATTATCCTTAGTCTATGTCACAATTAGGAAATATATGCCATGCAGATTATATGTCAACTTCAACTGAGTCACAAGAAAGATCATTAAATAATCCAAACGATACACACCCAGAGATTGTAAATGTTGTGTCAACATTTCAATTAGGTGTTAAATTAGAATTGAGAAAAATAGTACAAAAAGCAAGAAATGCTGAATATAATCCCAAACGTTTTGCAGGTGCAATTATGAGAATTTCAAGTCCAAAATCAACGGCATTAATTTTTCAAACAGGTAAAATTGTATGTACTGGAACTCGTTCTATTGAAGAAAGTAAAATTGCATCGAAAAAGTATGCAAAGATTATTAAGAAAATTGGATATCCAATTCATTATTCTAATTTTAATGTTCAAAATATAGTAGGGTCATGTGATGTGAAGTTTCAAATTGCATTACGTACTTTAGTCGATTCATATTTGGCTTTTTGTCAATATGAACCAGAAGTATTTCCTGGATTAGTATATAGAATGGCATCACCTAAAGTGACGTTATTAGTATTTTCAACAGGGAAAGTTGTTCTTACAGGTGCTAAAGATGAAGAAAGTTTGAATTTAGCATATAAGAATATCTATCCTATCTTACTAGCTAATAGAAAAGAAGATATATCAAATCAATAATTTTAATTATTTTTCTTTCTTCATCTTAAAGGTATTAATAATAATAATAATTTAATAACCAATTTGATTATTACTAATTAACAACAATTCCTCACCGTTTCAAAGAAAAAAATAAAAATAATAAAAAAAATAAGAAAAGAATGACTTTGACTTAAACAACGAATAAGAATAACTGTTATTAATTCCATAATTCCTTTGTCAATCATTAAATTAATAGAAAAAATAATATGAAAACTCCCAACAACAAGACATTTGGAATTTTTCAAAGATAAAAAGAATAACAAAAAAATTTAAGAAATTATAAAAAAAAAATAAAACTAGAAATGAACATTTGGTCTTTTAAGATGGAACAAAAAGCCAAAAGAGTTAGATTTAAGGAATATCGATGTATTTATCCAGGATGTAATGAAGGACTAAAAACTAAATATAATTGTTTATCACATATTTGGGATATGCATATTCGTACATTAAATAATATACAAGAACCATTTAAATCAATTAAAGACAAAAAAACAGCAACAAAATGTTGTTTACCTTATTTAAAATTTGAAGAAAATGCAATAACTAATAGAAAAAGAAGACCATATGATTATAGTGATTTATTAGGACAAGAATATAAATTAAAAGAAGAAGAGGAAGAAGAAAATGAAGTTGATTTATCAAATAATGACAATAATATTATTCAATCTAATTCACCACCTCAAATAATTGTTTCACCACCACATCAAAATAATCCAATGATAAATGCTATTGGAATGTATCAATCTCCCTTTTTAACTGATGGTATTTCTACACAAATTTCAAATCAAATTCCTCATCAATATACTCAAAATGATAATGTATCAGGAGATAGAGTTGTTCTTAATCCAATTACTTATGAACTTATTAATTCATGTGGAGAAGATTTTATTAGAATATATTACATCAATCAAAATATTAGAAGACTACATGTCTTTGGAGAAATATTTGCAGAAAATGGATTTTTACAACGGTCTGATCAAAGATATAAAAAAGATATTAAAAAGATTTCAAATGCATTAGAAAAAGTATTGTTATTAACTGGAAGGAGTTATAAATATTTAAATGATAAACAAAGACGTTTTGGGTTTATTGCACAAGAATTAAAAGAAGTTAT